CGGTATATATCAGTATATTGAAGGTCTATAGGCGTAGACCGAAATTGTAAGTACATATTTGTGTTGATTGTATTACCAGTAAAGACAAGGAAGACTGGAATGACCATTTCTGATTTCTTAGCCGTCGTCAGCCAGTCATACCCAGACCCAGACAGAGCGAGACAGATGAGTTCCGTTAGCAGTCGGGTGAAAGTTCATCAATGAAAAACATAGATAGGTTGATTATCAGATGATAAACAGCAAGCCATAATCAAGATTTAGCAACAGCAAATACTATCTGCAAGACATCGCAGAAAACTTATAAGACATTTAGTAATGCATAAGAATACTTCGCGGATGATTAGTACGTGGAAATTTCCCCGACAAAGGAACCCATAGTGTGTGGCTTGTAAAGTTACTTTTAGTTACAGTAAGTATATTTCGTTGACCCAGTGCACTCGAAACAGCTGTTTTGCTAGATTGGATCTTTTTAAAAACGGACAAATGATTAAATAGCGGGGACCGTAGCCTCCGACTCTGGAAGTATAAAGGGCTAAGGGAAAACTAATGATGTCAGTCGCTCACTGAAAAGGCATTTATAAGGTGACTAACATTCCTGCTTCATGTATTTCGTTTTTTTCCAGAAACTCAAGGAAAATGACAGAAAGAGGTCGACAGCTGTTGCTCCGCGCAACCAAGACTTTATAATTCGAGATGATGCGGTTTTCAGTGCGGATGATCCTGACAAGCTCGCCAAGGAGGAGATGGACTTGCGCAAAACTCTCCGGGAAGCAGCGGCTAAATTGAAGGCTAGTGAAACAGAGTTGTCGCAATTACGAACCAAAGTTGATACACAATCTTCGGAGTTGATCATGTAAGTTCCACACGAAAATGTCGTTGCTCAATGCTTCAATTCGTTAGCAGCCCAATAATATTAAAAAAACAACAGTTAAGGTGGTTATTCTTCCCCAAAAAGCGATTATACTAGATCGTTATGCATCCTCTGGAGTAAATGTATGCTGTTTCTAACCAAACATACCTCCAGAGACCGTGTTATGACGCACTTCTGGAAAAACAAGTGTTTTATCGACTGCAGACTTCACGGGCAGGGTGCTTGAATAAGTAAGTACATTATCAACTCGAGGGCTCCTGAACGAAAGCGTGCTAGACCACCTGTTAACTAAGAATGTCTAGAACATTTTGTATGTGATATTTGATGAAAATTCAAAAGAAACCGAGGACTAGTGAGCTTGCCAAGTCCAGCGTATTGAGCATTGTTCAGTAAAATGCCCAATTATAGGGGAAAACGTAGGAGTCAGATTAACGTCAGTGGATTGTAACTTTAAAGACAAGCAATTATCGACATGCACATACCTGGGGCTTAACAGTTGACCTTAACCTACCGATCGAACTTTCAGTTAGGGTGTCAAATAAGACTTATTACGCCCGGTTTCAATATATCTATCCCGCCTGAACGGCATTTAACGCTCCTCAGTCCTTCATGAGTGTATACTTCAACAGGAGTATTCTTATGTCAGCTTGATATGATTCACCTGCACTTCAACACGGCGTTACCTCAAGCAAATTGTAAGCAGAACGCAGAAGCAGTCAAGATGACAGATAGTATGAGTGGTGAATGCAGACATCGCCACCCCCAACGCAAACAACCATAGAGTGCGTGCGGTTTTAGGACTTCATGACTTAATAAGAGGCCAGCATGATGTAGCTTCTAGGAATATTTACCTGCTTATGCCTAATCAAAAAATGTTTTTCTCCAATCCAGGGAACGCATGCGAGCTTCTAACTATGCAGAAGAAAAGGAAATGCTCTACGACCAAGTCAACAAAATGAAGTACGTTAGCACGTTGTTGTTAGAAATGCTCTACCGTTTAAAAAGACGCAAAAACATTGAGTAATTTTGATGTAGGTTTACCAGAACGTTGGTGTATAATTCATTTCAATCTTTTTAGGTCTCTTTTGCTTGACGTATATGGAGCGCCTGACCGACAAAGGACCTCTACTATAGGTCGGCAGCATTCCGTAAGCAGGAAGATGCATTATGCTGTTTAATATTTTCCCTTCATTGTAAATAATAGTAAATAGACAAAGAAAGCTTAAGTAGGAAAGCCCATAGATTACGCGAGGGTCCAAAGGACCGGTGAAACGCAAAAAATAAACACGGTCGACGTCAATATTCTAAAAATCAGTTAACAGGAAAACAAGGAATGCTTAAATTGGTTTTATTTCTGCGTGTTGAGTGCCCCCCTGATGACTTCATCGGCTCCTACATCAACATTAAAGTCAGTAAAGACAGGGGAAAAATAACATGTATGCTGGCCGCTTCTTTTTCTGTATGCCAGTTAGTTCATTAACTGCGAGGTATTTGCAGCGTCCGCATCCAACGAGTATCCGTAATTTTTTCCTGCATGGCATTCATTCTGAAATTTCCAAAGTCAAAACATTTTTGTATAGCGGGGTCTAATGGTTTTGCTCAAACTCAGCTTACTACAAAATCAGGGCACAATGTCCGCCCTTGTGCCCCCAAATCGTAGTGTGGCCAGTGAATCACGGTAGGTCCTGGGAGTAGGAACCAGACCGGTAGTATAGGCAGTCTTGCGCCAATTTTTAGTCCGAGAAAATTTTTTCTCGTGTCCTAAACCGAAGTCGAACACGCACCCAAACGCTAACCACAAAAGTTAGCCGCACACCCCGTAAATTAACGCAAGGCCCCCAGGATAGGTAGGGAGGGGCTTCCTTTTCTGTGTCCCTGCAGGGGTCCCTTCTATTTGATGGAATCAAACGCAGCGTTGATTTGCGCATTAAATATTTTATAGTGAAGAATACGTGTGTGCACTCCGCTTTGCTTCTACTTCCATTGCGCTTAGAGTAAAAATAGCAAAGTCGGGACCAATATAAATTGCTGGAGTTCTAATGACTGAATTAATGCCTAATAATGCCATATGCTTAGTGATCCTTACATGTTCACAAGCCAGAGTTCGGCGAAAAATCGCAGACCTCACGTGGGTGACATTGTCTATAACGAAACCTT